GGCGTTCTGAAGACAGCACTGTGCTCCCAGCCCCCAGCCTCAACACCCCAAAGCCCCTTTCTGTTTGGTTGCACAGTGCCAGTGAGTCCAAGTTCGCTCTGGGCAGAGGGGGCTCCTCTGCAGGGCCCCTTGCATCTCAGCTCCCCAGCCGGACCAGTGTTCTTTGGGTCCATATGGAGCGATGAACAGGAGCTGCCAGGAGTGATTCACATCTCTCCCCAGCACTGCCAGGGCCGGATGAGTGCCAGCATCTTCCAGCATGTGCTAAACTGTAGAGAAGCAGGACTAACTGGAAGGATCCCTGCCTGCCTTCACTTACTTCCCCCTGAGCTGTTTTGTGTGTGGTGGGGAAGAGCTGGGCTGGTCACTTGCAGTTTCATGCGTGGTGGAGTTTAAGAGGAGACCTGGAAAGAGCTGTGACCCTTTAGATTGATGCCATATGCTGGAAGATCTGACATGCTTGTGAGGGCAGGAGGTATCATTCGAGTCTGCAAGAGAAGACTGGTCAGCAGTGGTGTGCTGTGCAGCACCTGTGTGCAGTTTATGTTACATCTGATTGTGCTGGTCATCTTTTGGTCCAGTTTACGAAGTCCTTTTAAGATGAAATGTAAATCCATTTGGAAACCTGTGCATATCTCCAATAATACAGCTTAAAGAACAGCTTAAAAAATGAATGCCTTAGGAATTAAAGCATTAATAGCTTGAGTAGATTGGATGAAAATGACAGTTGTAAAATTTTGAAACACCAAGCAATAAAATGCTGTCTTCTTCCATTCCACCACTGAAGCTTAGTTGATCGAGATGAAGTTACGTCCAGTGAGAAAATCCAACCTTCAAAGTGCTTCTTTTTCCTACTTTCATTTGTGTCAGTACGTCTCCTTCAGGCTCAGTGGTGAGTTCTGGGTGACATCCCTTTGAAGAACTGTGTGATCTTTTATATTCCTGAAAAATCTTAGGTGGCCGGAGCACATTGACCACCTGGACTAGGATTTAGCCAGGTGTCTGTGTTGCAATGGCAATTTCAGGACACTTCCAGATTACATTGGTGTCGTTTCTGTTAGATGCTTTGGACCAAACATGAATTTGTGTGTTCTTATAAGATACTCTGTTATTTCAGACTCATAGGAATCTGAGAAAAGTTCGAATAAAAAGAATTCCGCTGGCATATGGTGGGTATGGTAAGCCTGCCGCTCTTCCCACCTCATTTCTGAGAAGGCACAGCCTAGTCCTGAGTGGCTCCTGAACTGCTGCCCTCCAACCCACCCGTGGCCCTCAAGCCTGCAGTGATACTCCATGGTCTGCAGATGTGGGACTGTTCTCTGTGCTAGGCCCCTGAGTTCCTCAACCCCATCAGCGTGACTTTCCACTTACGCCCAGACCTCTGTGTCTTAGGCGGCCCCTCCCCTCTCAGTGAGATGCAGCCCACTGTGGAGCTTTCCCCAGGGTCTTCCATCAGCCCTCTGCTCTGTGGGGCCCCCTACAGGCTGCACTGGGAACTGTTCCTGCAGTGCTTGGCACAGAGCAAGGGCAACATGTATTTATTTCTTCATTGAATGAATGAATGCATGAGTAGAAACATTTGGCCCACCATACTTCTTAATAAAATAGGTCCCTTCAAAGTTATTTTATGGAGAGTAAAGAGATTAACTAGTAGATACTTCTGATGGTGTCCTCTCCCCTCATTTGTGAACAGTTACAAACAAGGAGGTGATGTGCTCCAGCGAGCAACGGATCCTTCTTCTTGTGCCCAGCACCTCTGTCATGGCCTTGTGTCTAAGTGAGGTCTTGGGTCATGTTGGCACATTTCGTAAGTGGGAGCTTCCTCCATAGGGCCAGCTGAGGTGACACATGGGGAATAATGCAGCCTACCAGATGGAAGGCAGGACAGTTATTTATTCTCAGTGCTTATTTATTTAAGCTAAAATATCATTGCTTAACCAGATGAGAAGATTATGAGAGAAACTATAGGCCGCTCTCACCTGGAAATATAGACATGAACATTGAAACTAAAATGGTAACAGACTCAGCCCACCAGTGAATATATGTATGTGTTACTTAGGAAAAACAACATTGGGTTTATACCTAGGAAGCAAAGCCTTACCTGAGGCGGCCTGTGAAGTAACTAAGCACAGCAGCAGACAACTTTCTCCTCACAGTGATGGATGCAGGAAGGGGAATGGGGAGACCTGGCAGTCACTCACAGTGCTGTGGTTTTTTTGTTATTTTTTTTTAAAGAAAATGCTCAGCACTGTCAGACTTGTAAATGTGTGATGATGCAAGCATCAACCTCTTGAGGAAGGAGCTCATGAACTGAGTCTCCTTCACGAAGTCAGGCCTCTTTCTTTTCTCTGAGTCTGCTGACTTAGCTCTCCTCCCTGGCCTTCAAATATTCCTTAGAAGAAAGCCTGAAGCAAATGTAGGCAAACATTGATGTTTTCTGGGGTTTTTTTTTTTTTTTTTGAGTTGGAGTCTCACTCTGTCGCCCAGACTGGAGTGCAGTGGCCGCCCCCAGCCACCGCAGCCTCGACCTGCTGGGCTCCAACAATCCTTCCGCCTCAGCCTTCCAAGTAGCTGGAACTACAGGTGCGCACTACCATACCCGGCTAATTTTTTGATTTATTGTAGAGATGAGGTCTCACCAAGTTGCCCAGGCGGGTCTCGAACTGTGGGCTCAGGCAATCCACTCACCTCGGCCTCCCAAAGCACTGGGATTATAAACTAAGCCACCGAGCCCGGCCAACATTGATGTTTTCTAAAACTGGCGTTGCTTACACAGTCTTTCCATTTTTGCTATAATTTATCATAAAAATGATCAAAAAAGGAAATGAATGAGATGCAGTCTTCTCCCATGTGTGTGTGGTGGGGTAGGTGGCCCACTGCTCTTTGGGTCTGCTCACTGAACACACAGCTTCCCACAGAATATGAAATACAAACTTTTGATATGTCAAGCCCAATACCCAGTTTTTAAAAATACATTTTAAAAGTTGTGGATTGTGCTTCCCTGATTTGGAGGAAAAAACAGAAGAGAAACAATCAGCTGGTGTTTATCCAGTGCTTGTCAGAAGAAAGGAGGATTTGATTTAAAAAAAAAAAAAGAGAGAGGCAGCCAGTAATGCATTATGGAATATGATTAAATACTGAGAATTTTCCCATTGCCTTCTTGGTTGTTTTGCCTGTTTGCACTGTCCAGAAAAGGGGCCTGAGCTAGTTCCTGTGGCCCCAGGCACCATTAGCCAAGCCCCAGAGGAGCTTCTGGTGAGACAGCAGGGTCGGATTCAGAGCTGGGGACTGGCTGTGGGTGCCTGGGAATGGGGACAGCAGTGATTTCAGCTGAGGAACCTGAAAACACCCCTCCATTTTGGGTAACGTCCTGGACACTGAGGCTCAGAGAGGTCACATGACTCTGCAGCTGCTAGCAGCTGGATAGCAGCCCAGAAATTAGAACCCACAGCTCCTGTCAGAGCTGGGACCTCCTCCACAGAAATGGGTTCCACCCTTCCCTCTTCAGAAGGAGACTGACTGAGCCCTGGGACCAAGGCCTCCAGCAGTTTGGGAATTGAAGCCTGTTTGCTTGGGCAGTGACCATAGAAATGCTTTGTGCTGAGGGACAGCTGCCAATTATGGGCAGTTTTACCTGAATCAGTGGGTTTTGAGACCTTGGAGTACAGTTTTTGCTAGGAACTGGATTACAGCCAGGGCCTAGTCTTAGGCCATCCAGTGTCTGGGACTGGAAAGCCTTATGGGCTGGGGGTCAGTTCCTGGGGCATACGGGTGGGTCACTCTCAAGGAGGCACCCAAACAAAGTCAAGCACAAAAGGTGCTGACCCCAAGGGGTGAGAAACTAGCCCTCTCAGTGACCCTCATTTGTTGGCTCGGTCTTTTCTGAGCTTGAGCTCCTCCTGGCAGACAAGACCTGCCTCCTTCCCCAGGTTCCATGTGTGTTGCATGATGAAGAAATGAGGCTGGACAGGGCATAGGGAGTTTTCTGAAGGGATGGGGCTGTGGGGTGACTTCACAGAAGGTGCCTGTAGGAGAGCCATAGGCAACTGGGCTCTCACCTAGATTCTCAGTGACTGTGTTAGCAGAGCTGCGTGTTTGATGAGTACCACTGAGTGTCACTGGGTTGCGCTAGGAGTAGCGGCTCAGAATGACTGCCTGCATGTACTGTGTACTTTTTAGGCAAGAAGCACACACATTGGATTATTTTGTGATATCCATAATTTAAAGCATCATTTTTCTCACTTAAATTTGACATTACTCTGGAAGGAATACTGATTAATCTTCTGTTCCTAATAAAAGTTGCCTTTTTTTTTTCAGTAGAACGTTAGTATAGTTTAGAAAGTTCATGCCCTGATGAAATGCACTCATGCCAATTACCAGGAGCAGGTCTTGCTGGCTGTGGCCGGATAAACATGTTTTCCAAGGGGGCACTCCTCTCGCCATGGAAACCGGCTCTCAGTCCCTAGCATCCATCCAGACCACTTGAGGGCACATACTGTTCTTTGGTTCTCACACAGCTCTTCAGTGGCTTCATTAAAAGAAAAAGAAGAGGGAGAAGAATGGAACAGGCCAGTTTGCCAATAGAAGGACTGGTGCTTAGCTCTTTTCCCTTGGCTAGCTAGAGCTTCTTCTTTATTTTTCCCTTTGTTGGCTTTTAGAAATGATGTCAGCAAGGCCTTTGGGCCTGTAGCAGGATCCTTTGAGAGAACAGGTCTTCCCTTGGGGATGATGGGGTGGAGGGAAGAGGACTTGTGGAGTGCATGTTCTGGTCTGACCTTCCAGGCTTTTGTGATTTTTGTATTTGAGGAATGGAGTCTCCAGAGGCCTCTGAGTCTTGCATTTTGAGCCTGTTGGGCAAGAGAGGAAAGAGGTGCCTGGAGTGCCAAGTGTCCTTCAGCCACAGACTCCCTGCAAGGCTGCCAGCATGTCTTGGAGTGTTCTGGGGTACAGGGACAGCTAGGGCAGCAATGACGGCTCTTCTGTGCTTTCTCTTCCCACAGTGGATGTGGCTGCAGCGCTGCCTTTGCAAGTGGCCCCTTCGGCAGTGCCCATGGACCTGCGTCTGGACCACCAGTTCTCGCTGCCTGTGGCGGAGCCCGCCCTTCGAGAGCAGCAGCTGCAGCAGGAGCTGCTGGCACTCAAGCAGAAGCAGCAGATCCAGAGGCAGATCCTCATCGCCGAGTTCCAGAGGCAGCATGAGCAGCTCTCCCGGCAGCACGAAGCTCAACTTCACGAGCACATCAAGGTGAGTTGCTGAGGCACGGGCAAAGGCCAAGCTGGCCCAAGAGCCTCCAGCACCTTCACGTTCCTGGTGATGGTTCCTTCTGCATCTAAGGAGTGTTCCTAATCCCCAAGTGTGACACTTAGGCTCATGTACAGGGCAGTCCTCACTGTGATGATAGTACCAAAGGACCTTGGCCTGTGTGCTCAACAGTGGGCAATACTTAAGTAAGTGGCAAAGGAAGCAGTACAGAGTGGTGAACAGCATTTCATTTTTATTTTTTTAGAAATAAAGTCTCACTGTGTTACCCAGGCTGGTCTAGAACTCCTGGTCTCAAGCAGTCCTCCTGCCTTGGCCTCCCAAAATGTTGGGATTACATGCATGAGCTACCACACCTGGCCATGAGCAACATTTTAAGGTTGTGATGTAGAAGCCTATTTAAAATAGTGAAAATGCTCATCACCTCATTTCATCTGTAATGTATCCATAAATAGAGATATTACCAGTGGAAAGAAGTACTATGATCATCCCTGGATGGTGTTTTTACAAATCATTTTTATTTTCTTCTTCTTGAGACTTTTTTTCTTTCCAGTGAACTTTTACAGTTGGAAAAAGATAATATTTTCTTTTATTTTAAATGGAGTAAGAAAAAACTAACAAAGACTTTTTTTGGGTACTTACTCTCTAAAAATATTTAATCTGACACCATATTTTAAAATTAAATATATTGGAAAGAAACATGTAGCAAAGTTATATAGTTGGCAGGACAATTATGATGTCTGTGATTATATTATGCCCTCAATGCATAACATAGAAACCATAATATTGGGACCATTTAGAACAACACTGTCTAATATAAATATGCATGTGTATATTAAAATTATAGATAATTTTAAGTTTTCTAACAGCCACATTAAACAAAGCAAAGTAGCTCACAAAAACCATATTAAGTTATCTATTTCTATGTAACAAAATTACTCCAAAACTTAGCAGCTTAAGACAACAAATAATATTGTTATACAGTTTCTGTGGGTCAGGAATCCAGGGGCAGGTTAACTGGTGGGTCTGACTCAGGGTCTCCTGTTATGTTGCATTCAAGATGTCAGACAGGGCTGTCATCTCATATGAAGGACTCAGTGGACCAAGACAGGAGGATTTGCTTTCAAACTCATTCATATGGTTGTGCACAGGAGGTCTCGGGTCCTCATCCACAGGGTTGCTCACATACAGCAGCTGGCTTCCTAGCATAATCAATTCGAGGGAACATGGCCAAGGTGAAAGCCACAGCCTAATCTAGGAAAAGACACACTACCGCGTCTGCCCTGTTCTGTCAGTCACACAGGCCAACCCCAGCATATTGTGGGAGCACCTAGAAAAGAAGGTGAATACCAAGAGAGGGATCATTGGGGCCACTTAACAAAAGGTGAAATCTATTTTATCATATTTTATTTAGCCATATATTTCCAAAATATTATTTCAACATGTATTCATGATGTAAAGTTACTAATGAGATATTTTACATTCTTTTGTTCATGCTGAGTTGGCAAACTATTGGGGATGAGACACGTACATAGAACATGTCTCGATTTGGACCAGCTGCATTTCAGATGTAGAGCATTAGAAGCCTGTGACCTTATGTTAACCCGATGCTTCCATGATGCTCTGTCATAGAGACTCACATGGCCCATGGGTAGAAGTTGTTCAACCAAAGCCTTGGCCTCCTGAGACGTTAGCTCACACCCAGATGTTAGTGTGCGTGCCTGGTTCTGTGCGTGATAGCTAGTGATACAATAAGTCTCCTACATGTAAATTGTCAAGTTGCAAACTTTCAAAGATGCAAACGTGCGTTCTCATGTGTAATCATGTAAGTTAGTTCACGTCTTGTGTACATTGTCACATGCATGCATCCTTTACAAGTGGTTGTGCTTTCATGTACTTTATTGTACAGTATTGTATAGAGTACAGTAGTACAGTATCTTTATTTCAAGTCCAGGATGTCTGGAAGCAAGTGTAAAAGTAGTGGTGATGTAGCTGGTACTGTATAGCCAGTTATATTAGTTGGGTACTTAGGCTGACTTCGTTGAACTTACGAACAAATTGAACTTATGAACATGTTCTTGGAATGGAACTCATTTGTATGTAGGGGACTTACTGTATACCTCTCAGTTTCTGTCCCTGGCCAGTAATTCCCTTGACCACAGGATCTATCCCCTTGTTGCTCCTTGTATATGTAAGACACCTGGTTCATTGTCTTTATTTAATAATCAGTGTTGAAAAGTGGAGGGAAAGCAATATTGATTGTCTGTCGGCTTACCAGTAGATTGTGGGGGAGGCTGTCCAGGGCCTGTTCACTGGCTCAGCTGCATCACAGAACCTGTCTGGCCCCAGAGGACAGGCCCACGGGCATCTCTGAGCCCCCTCTCATGGTCACCAAACCATCATGTGAGTGCATGTGCTTCAAAGGTAAGCCCGGAGGGCTTTGCCTCAGCCTCCTCTGGCCTTGGGGGTCTGGGAAGCATCCTCCTGGACCCTGAGGGCTGCTTGCAGACCTGTCATTGGAGCTTGGATTGTTGCTTTATTATTTGTTGGTTTGAGGGTTGCTGTTGTGACTGCTGCTTTTTGCCCTGACTCACTGGCTTTCTAATGTCAGCATTTAACAAACCAAAGAGAGCATACTTTCTTGAGCTGCTTGAAGCCCAGGCTTTGTCGTTTTTGCCTTCATAATTCTGAGCAACTTAGCGACTGTGTGTAACAAAAGATACCACTTGTCCCTATTAAAATTGTCCCTCCAGCAGCCACCAGGATCCTGTCCTTTCTAACACACGCTCGGTGAAGCACCATGCCCCAGTGCTCCTGACTTTCCCTCTGGCTGGTGGGATGTGAGGGAGGACACAGTCTTTGCTTTACTGATGGGTATTGCCCTGTGCTGTGGATTGCCCAGGCCTATTCCATAATGAGGCCCTGACTGTGGGCAGCTGCATGTGGCCTCTGTTTTAGGCCTGGGAGAAGGATGTTTTAGGCTGGCCACAGGAAACGGGTGTGTGCCAGGCAGAAGGCACAGGTCAGTGGGAGTCATCCCAGGTAATCCCTGCAGCCTACCTAGGGCTCCGGCTTGCTGGCCTTTCAGTAACTGACTGAAAGCAGTACTTAACAGGCCACTTGTTTAATTCAGTTTCTGAGCCATAGCCTCACATTTGTATGACTCCTAATAGCAATTTTCAAAAAATGAGAGTTGTAGCTCCTTTATATCCTGCATGTTGGTAGCTCCACATTGAGTCTGAGGACCCCTATTCCATAGCAGTCTCTTCACCTGGAGCTGCTCTGCATCTCCTGGATGTCCCCTTTGACGACTAGTCCTGGCCTACCTGGGGACATGAGGACATATTCATTCACTCTGGCTTCCCTGCAGACCCCACACAGACCCAGCTGAGGATGGGCTTCTGTGGCTACTTGCTGAATTACATTTTTCCTATATTTTCACCACACCTTGGAACACTCCTGTCCTTGGCTATGACAGGGGAGCATTCAGGCAACGTGTGATTGGAAGACTGTTCCCTGAACTTGCAGTGGTGGATGTTGGTGTGGATTAGGGGTAAAGAAGGCTGTAATTCTGTAAGTCTGATTATGTGTCAGTTGAATTTGTAGCTTTTACAAGAAAAATAAATGAGAAACTGAGGAATGACCTGCCTGTGTGAGGGGGTCATCAGAATAATACCCAGAAGCAAGAAACACAAAGAAAGACCCTTGAGTCAGGGATAGTGCTGCCACCTCTGGGCAAGGCCAGCTCCCTGCAGTCTAAGCTGGGTCCCATCTCCTAGACCACTTTGTCTCTCCTTGCCGGTTGCTTCAGAAGTTGTCTTTGCTGCCTGGAAGGAACTCTCCTAACCCCAATCCTCAGGTCAGCTCCTGCAGGCTGGGCCACTGGGCTTGGTGGGTCCCCAAGAGAGCTTGCTTTCAACCCACAGTGCTGGGCCTTCTGAGAGATGACCAAAGGCCCCAGAACCGTCACTGTAAGCTACTCTTTGGGCTAGGGGCTTCAAAGCACAGAAAGGAGCTCAGGATTACATTTATCTTTACATTTTAATGATTCGTTTTATTTTTATTAAAATGGACATTATAAAAGCCATTTGAGCACTGCGACTGTATCATTACATTAGTAGGCTTTTGTTTTGATGATTTAAACTCTCTTCATAAGCCATAAACTCTCTTCATATTGTTAGTGACATTTGGCAATGGTGTTTGTCAGACAGATTTCTTGGACACAAAATCTAATTAGTGTCATTAACTCATCAGTGAATTTGAATAGGATTTTATAAAATTCTATTTTCATAAAAAGGAAACAGTAAAATATAACTTAACTTGTTAATCTTGGGTAAATAAGATCTTTTATACAGATTTTCATGCGCAGAACTTGTACTTGCCACAGCTTCCTTGCTCTTCATGGTAGTTTAAACACCACGCTCCCTCTGTTTTTGGAAGTTCTCTTCTGCCTAGAATTGGATCTTAGGTGAGTATGGAGGCTTCTCTCTTGCATTTCTGCCTAATACCTTCTGGAAGGGTAGGGAGAGGGAAGGCATAAACATTATATGTGCCCAGAGAGGGTTTGAGGACAAGCCATGTTGTTATGGCTAGAGCAGCCTCCAGGCTGGTGAATAACAGAGCAGGGGGAGGTATGGGAGACCTCAAAGCGCAGGACTGGCACACCTCTCCATGGAAGGCACCTGAGTACCCACCATGAGATGCTGCTCCAGGACAGGCACCTAAACACCCACTTGAAGGGCACACTTCTTCATGGAAGGCACCTGGGCACTGTAGGACATGCCCCTCCTCAACAAGCACCTGGGCACCCACCATAGCACATACCCTCCAGGACAGCAGCTGGGCACCCTTCACGTGAAAGATACTGTATGCATGTTACATGTTTTAAAACATCTTGCCAAGTTGCCCCCCAGGAAGTACAGGTCAGAGTATTCCCCTCCCCTCTCTTGGAAGAATAGTTCTGGTCTAATAGGTGAAAAATAAAA